CGAGGTATTCGCTCGAGTGAAGCGCGAGGTGCGCCTGGAAGACTTAGGAATTGGAGACCTTCGTTTTAGAGTAGCGACCACAGGGGCTAGAATGCTAGAAGTACCCGGCGAGAATAGTGCCGACAAGGCGGATGCTCTGGCAGAGAAACTCAGGGGGGTGCTGTGTGAAGACGACGTTGTAGTCTCCAGGCCGACTAAATGCGCGGAGATTCGTGTTATCGGCCTGGATGACTCCGTCACGCCGGACGAACTGGCAGAAGCTGTCGGCAGAGTTGGTAGCTGCTCGCCCACAGCAGTGAAGGTGGGAGGAATCCGCCGTGACCATACCGGGCTAGGGTCGGCGTGGGTTCGTTGCCCCGTTGTGGCTGCCAAAAAGGTAGTGGACGGTGGCCGCCTCCTTGTTGGGCTAGTATCTGCTCAGATAAAACTGCTGCAGCCCCGGTCCCTGCGGTGCTTCCGGTGCCATGAGGAAGGCCACGTTGCGGCACAGTGCACGGGGCCTATAGATCGTAGTGGCCAGTGCTACAAGTGCGGACAGCCTGGCCACACACGCAGCCAATGCGCCAATGCACCACACTGTGCGGTCTGCGAGGCGGCAGAGAGGTCAGCGGATCACGTAGTGGGGAGTGTTGCCTGCACGCGGGGTCCAAAATCTGGCAGGAATAAAGGCAGGAGAGCAGCATCTGGGCCATCAGTCCAAAAGCAGCAGGCCCGTAGAAGGGACGAGGTGGCCACGAACATCGAGGCACAGTGATGGCTCTTACAATTCTACAGGGGAATTTGAACCACTGTGCCAGGGCACAGGACTTGTTTGTCCAAAGCCTGGTGCAGTGGTCGGTTCAGGTCGCCGTGGTTGCGGAGCCATATTCAGTCCCACCGCGAGATAACTGGGCTGGGGATGATGACGGACAGGTCGCGATTGTGACCCAGGTCGCCGCTGGCGCCCCACCTTTCACACGTGTTGCGAAGGGTCCGGGATACGTCGCGGCACTGCTGGGGCAGATCGTTGTGGTCGGAGTCTATTTCTCCCCCAATAAAACGTTGGCTGATTTTGAAGAGTTCCTGGACAGGCTGGGGGATTTCATTGCCAGATTCCAGCCTGCGGAAGTCCTGTTAGCGGGGGACTTGAACTCAAAGTCCAGCTTGTGGGGTTCGGCAACGGAGGATGCGCGGGGAAGGGCCCTTGTGGAGTGGGTAGTTGCCACCAACTTGACGGTCCTTAACCGGGGAACGGCGAACACGTGCGTGCGACGGCAGGGCGGCTCCATCGTGGACGTAACGTTTGCGAGCCCAGCCTTAGCGCGCCGTGTCCAGGGCTGGCGAGTGCTGGAGGACGTGGAGACTCTTTCGGACCACCTATACATCCGATTGGAGGTCTCCACCCATCCGGCGGTGCCGCCAGGCCCCAGGCGAACCTCGGGAGAGGACAGTCCGAGGTGGCAATTAAAGCGTCTCGATGCAGAGGTCCTAAAGGAGGCCTTGCTGATAGCCTCATGGCTGCCCCATAGCACCGGGGCTGTAGAGGAGTCGGCGGAGAGACTACGAGAGCTGGTTACGCGAGCATGTGATAGGGCCATGCCCCGTTCAAGGCGCTGCCCATCTAGGCGTCAAGTGTACTGGTGGTCGGCGGCGATTGAGCAATTGCGCGAGGAGTGTGTGGCCGCCAGACGTCAGTACACCCGCTGTCGCAGACGGCGATTTAGGAGCCGCAACGCTAACGATAGAGAAAGGCACAGGGCAGAGGAGGATACACTATACGATCAGTATGTTGCCATCAAAACCAACTTACAGGTGGCGATCGCTGAGTCGCAGACCACGGCCAGGGAGCGGATGCTGGATGAGCTCAACCGCGATCCCTGGGGGACGCCCTACAGGATGGTGCGTAACAAGCTCCGTCCTTGGGCCCCCCCACTTACGCAGTCTCTCCAGCCCAGCGCAGTCCGGGAAGTGGTCGCGGCTCTGTTTCCCCACGGTGCGCAGGCAGAACACCGGCCGCCACCGATGGCCCCGCGGGAAAACCAGGGAGGAGGAAAGAGATGTCCCGGAAGTGACAGAAGAAGAGATGGAAAGTGCCGTAGCTCGTCTCCGGGAGAAGAGAGTGGCCCCCGGCCTGGATGGTATACCAGGGCGAGTATGGGTGTTGGCCATGGAGTATCTGGAGTTACGAGTTCGAGGACTATTTACTGCCTGTCTGGCTCAAGCCATAATTCCACAGCGGTGGAAGACAGGCAGATTAGTCCTCCTCAAAAAGGAGGGGCGGCCCGCGGAATCTCCGTCCGCGTACCGTCCCATCGTCCTCCTTGACGAAGTGGCCAAGCTCTTTGAGCGCGTTGTAGCCGGGCGCTTGTTGGCACACCTAGAGCGGGCGGGACCTAACCTCTCCGAAGTCCAGTTTGGTTTTCGCGGTGGCCGTTCCACCGTGGACGCCATTCTGCGCGTCCGGTCCCAGGCGCAGGAAGCGGTATCCCGGGGCGACGTTGTTATTGCCGGTGTCGCTTGACATCGCAAACGCGTTCAACACGTTGCCTTGGAACTGCATAAGGGAGGCACTCCGCTATCATGGGGTGCCGACCTACCTCCGTCGCGTTGTTGGGGCCTACCTGTCGGGGAGGTGGGTGAAGTTCCCCGGTCAAGATGGCTGGGAAAGCCGGGAGGTGGTATGCGGTGTTCCACAGGGGTCGGTACTTGGGCCACTCCTGTGGAACATCGGATATGACTGGGTGCTGCGGGGCACTGGTCTGAGAGGGGTAGAGATGACGTGCTACGCTGACGATACGTTGGTAACAGCTCGGCAGCGAACATATAGAGAGGCAGCCATATTGGCCACAGCGGGGGTAAGCTTCGTCGTTGGGAGGATCCGGCGGTTAGGTTTGGAGGTCGCCCTCGGAAAATCGGAGGCAATATGCTTCCATGGTCCTCGTAGGGCACCTCCGTCGGACGCGCATATTGTTGTGGGGGGAGTCCGCATCGGCGTTACGAACACGATGAAGTACTTGGGACTCGTGCTCGACGGCCGGTGGGACTTCCGAGCGCACTTTGACGCCCTGGTGCCGCGACTGTTGAAGGAGGCGGCGGCATTATCCAGGCTTCTGCCAAATGTAGGAGGACCGAGCGCGGTAACAAGGCGGCTTTACACCGGTGTCATGCGCTCGATGGCCATGTACGGTGCCCCAGTGTGGGCGGATGCCCTGTCGCGCGAAAACATCGCTCTGCTGCGGAGGGCGCAGAGAGTGATGGCGATCAGGGTCATCAGGGGGTACCGTACCATCTCAGGGGAGGTGGCATGTGTGTTGGCGGGAGTACTGCCGTGGGATTTAGACGCACGTTCCCTGGCGTTGATATACCGTCGGCGCCGAGGCCTATCATCTGGGGCCTCGATAGAAGTAGAAGAAGAGCGGGTAGCCGCAGTAGATGAGTGGCGGTCCAGGCTGGAGAACCCTTGCGCTGGCCGATGGACCATCGAGGCAGTTCGCCCCATTCTCGCGCAGTGGTTGGGCAGGCGGCACGGCGTCCTAACCTTCCGCGCCACGCAGATCCTCTCGGGGCATGGTTGCTTCGGGGGATATCTGTGTCGGGTCGCCGGGAGGGAGCCCTCTCCTCGCTGCCACCACTGTGACGACTGTCCCGATGAGTCGGCCCAGCATACGCTGGAGGTGTGCCCAGCATGGGCGACGGAGCGCGAGGCGCTCCAAAGTGTCGTGGGGCCGGACCTGACGCTGATGGCCGTGATCTCTGCCATGGCCGGAAGCGAAAGGTCCTGGGGTGCCGTCCTGTCCTTCTGCGAGGACGTGATGTCGCAGAAGGAGGCGGCGGAGAGGGTGAGAGAGGCCAACGCCGAGCTCGCCATCCGCCGCAAAAGGACCGGGCGCCGGAGAGCGGCGCACGATCGCCGCCTCCCCCCCTAGCACGAGCCAGAGGGCGGTCGGCTTGGGGAAGCTGATCGTCCACTGATCTGGCCCGAGTAGGCGCGCGCGGAGTCGTCCGCGCGCCACTCGAAGAGGCCGTCCGGGGTTAATCCCCCGTGATATGGAGGTGGGCCTTTAGAGGCTCTCGCCGCTGGGGTTTACAGAAGAATCTGGATGCCTGTGACCCCAGCCTTGTGGCGACAAAGCGGCCTTCGTCAGGTTTTTAGTGGGTAGGCTGTCGCGCGTTTTCCATCTTTGCGCGGCAGGAGCCCCACATAACCCGTTCCGCCTATCCCCAGGCGGACGGGTACCCGGGAACAGGGTTTTCCTGACGTTAAAAAAAAAAAAAAAAAAAAAAAAAAAAAAAAAAAAAAAAAAAAAAAAAAAAAAAAAAAAAAAAGGTTAGGTTAGGTTAGGTTTTTTTTTTTTTTTTTTTATTTAAGCCGGAACTCTTCTGACATGAGGGTCAGAAACCTTTTTTACAATTGGGATTTATTTACAATTTGGAAGACTTAATTTTTAGGTGATTTTCTACATTGCTTATTACAATACTTGTTTAGATGGGAGAGAACTTTTGTTCTTTACATACAATTTTTTACTATTAATTTCCTATTATATATGGTTTTACAATTTTATTACTATGTGTTATTTGTTAGAGTATAAGTATTTATTTCTATTATTCTATTTACATTTCTTATATACTAATTTGTTTGCCTTTATTCTTAATGTATTTATGGCATTGCTTTCTAATTTACTTATTTAATAGGTATTATATATTTATTACAGATGTTTTTTTTTTTTTTTTTTTGCCAGAGAGTACAGTTTGAAGGTAAGTGCCTATTTATTCTAATTGCTATTTTTTTATTAAGTATACTTATGAAATATTGCTTTACAATATTTATATATACTAGTTTCTTACTGATTATTTTATCTACTAAAGGTAAGTACTGGTTTTTTTTTTTTTTTTTTTTTTTTTTTTTTTCTTCAGTACTGTTTGGTTTTTTACTTGTTTTGTGCTTAAGTTCTATTGTGATGTTTTGTGCCGTCTGGTTAACATTGCTCTTCAAATCTTCAGGTTTGATTTGCATGTTTTCAGTGGTGGGTAACTATTTGCTTTTCCGACTCTTGCTGCGGGGTAAGATAATCTTGCTCCGTGGTATTCTCATTATACCTGCTTATTAGGTCTGATGCGTGTGTGTGGGCTTTTATTTGTATCTTTAGCAGTATGCTACACTCGAGCGGGCTAAGTCGTCCCACTTTTTCCTCACTGGGCAGTGCACGTCGAAGCTGTTATGATCGGTTTTGGCGCATTTTGCGTGCAGGCAGTTTTTGCATGTAGGCTCCTCGCCTGCCTGCAAACTTGGACATTCGGTACGGAGATGAGGTCCTGAACAATGGCTGCACAGATCAATACTATCTGTGCACCATTTTTTCCCATGTCCGAATGCCAAGCAGCGCGAGCACTGCACCAGTGGGGACAGGTCGAACACGGGCACCCTTTGGATATCCACGTAGACCTTCCCAGCTGTTGTTAATGCTCTCCATACTTTTGGGGATACTTCCAGTACTACGTGTGTCTCCATCGGGTTTCTCGCCCTTCGTCTATGCCTGACCTTCATCCTGTATTCCTCTGTTGGTATGTGGTCTAGAAGTTCATAATTTTGTTTTTCCAGTGACTGTAGAATGTCTTCATCCGTGTTGCTATTATTAACATTTCTAATTATTACTAAAGGGTCCTTGTTTGCTTTTGTTTCTACATTAAATTTTTTCCTTTCAAGTTTCTCCCGTATGCTTTCGATGTCTTCTTTCTTCTCACAACCAATGAGCACTTTCTGGTCCTTTACCTTCCTCAACTTTGATATCTGGAGTCCGGTATCTCTCGCATTCAACGTAGTTTTGATCTTCGTTAGCACCTCTTCGCTAGTATCATTTACGTTGTCCGTACCTACGAGTAGGCAGAGGGTCGGTTTTGGTAGCGAAGGTTGTTGAAGTGCCTGAGAGTAGGATTGTGGTGTCGTATTTGGCTTCTCTGTTGGTGTTGGTTGTGAGATTGGTATTGCCTTGATATCTTCTTTCATTTCTTGTATGTCTTTTTGGGTTTTTTCGGTTGCTATGTTCTGTTTCTGTAGTTCCTCCATCAGTTCGGTTTTGCTTTTTTCCTCCTTAATTTCTTTTATTTCTGCTTTTAAATCCATGATTTCGTTCTTTAAGTCTAAATTTTGTATTATCACTTGTTCCATTTGTTTTTCTATCTTTTTGTTAAATTCCGTCATTTCTTGTGTCTGTTGTTTGGGTGCCTGGTCAAGTCGTTCCATCACCGCCGCTAGTATCTCTCTAGCTAGTTCTGTCATTTCACAGTTTATTGAATTCACCATGTAGTATAATTTTTTCGCATGAAGTGCTATATTTTCTCTGATGGTCGTTTTTATATTTTTTGAGTCGTTTATGTTTTCTAATATTATTCTATAATGTTCTTCTGCTCTGTCATCTAGTACTTCTTTGGGAGGTAAGATTTCTGATTTTTCTCTAATTAATTTTGTTATATTAGGGGGTAGGGGTAGGGCTAGAGGTGATGGCATTGATATTTTTGATGGCGACGGTGATGTCGTTGCTGTTGTTTTGACAGTCTTACTTGACGTGGCTTGTGGTTTGGCGGTTTTCGCCTTGACCGCTGGCGGTTTGGAGGTTTTGGGAGGTGTCCTATGCATGTTTGTTAGAGTCCGGCTCTCGTCTTATTTTAAAACTAGTAATTTTGAGTGTAAAGGGCTCAGAGTCGATCTGTAGTTACTAATAGTATGTGCGGTGTATAAGTCCGCTGTCTTATTTCTTGTTAAAACTATCTTATTTTAATTTAAGTTATTTCCAATTGGAATATATCAATCTTATACTACTACAGTGTTTACAAGGGCTATGAACCTTGTAGATGGGATCAATTTTTTAAGTAAAAAGTATATTTTTCTAATTTTTCAAGGGGGGGGGGGAGGTATTCGGGATCTGAGGATGGGAGGTTGTAGGGCTAGCCGAGACCTTTAAAATGAGCCCAAACTCGGGGTCCGTAGGTCAGTTTTTGACAGAGTTGGGCAAAAGTTTAGGTTTTTGGGGTTTTACGGGGTTGTTTAGGGGAAATTTAGTATTTTTAATTTTGGTTAGGGTCTGTCACAGGTCTGTCTGTTATATATATTTTTTATTCCAAAATCGTAGGAGTGGGATTTTTTTAAAAGGGGTTTTTTGGGTTTTATTTAAAATGGGGGTTGGATAAAAATTTTGTTCTAGGGGTCCTGGAAGGGGTTTTCAAATACCTGTCGCCCGACACCAATTTCGTCAAAATCGGTTTAATAGTTTAGGAGTTATAGCGATTTTAAGTAGAGGGGGGGTGGTGGGCGTGGGCGAGGGGGGGGGGAGGGGTAGGTCTCGTGGGTAGCCTTGGGGGTCTTTGGGGGTGTTGGGGGTCTTTCGGGGGGTGGGGGGTGATGCCTAATACCCAAGAGTGGGCAAGCTAGGGTGGACAGGGACGGAGTTATAAGAATCCCAACTTTGGGGGGGGGGGGGTACAAAAGACAAAAATTTTTCTAAGTCCCTGTCCCTATAGTGCAGTGGTTGTATTCTTATAGTCACGAATTCAATTTTATTTAATTATAACAAAGTTCTATGTTAATACCCCTATGGCTCAGTGGTGAAATCTAAAAATTTTCTAAGTTCGATTTAAATGTTACAAAGTTCTATGTTTATAGTGTTACAAGGTTCTATGTCATTACTCCTATGGCTTAGTGGTGAAGTCTAAATTTTTTCTAAGTTCGATTTAAATGTTACAAAGTTCTATGTTTATTAGTGTTACAAGGTTCTATGTTATTGTTGCTTATGGCTCAGTGATTAAATTTAGAGAAGTCTTGGGTTTGATATATTTGATTATTATAAGGTTCTATGTAGGGTCCGGGTATGTAAGGGGTGAGGGTGATAAAGGCAAGGGGGGGGGAGGGGAATGTGGCGTAATACGCGGTGTAGTCGGTAAGTCTGAGGGGTGCGGGGTATGAGTCGAAGGGGTGAAAGGGGGAAATGGCTTGAAGGGGTGCGGGGTATGAGTCGCAGGGGTGAGGGGATCTGTTGTGGATAATTTTCTAAGTGAAGTCCCTTATGGGTCAGTGGTTGTAAGCTGTTGTTGCAGGTTCGATTTATGTAGGTCAAACACGACTTTAAGACTTTGCAATAAAGTCCAAGTTATTATAGATAAGTTCCGTAAAATTAGGAAGTTTAATATTTAATTTAATAAAAAATATACTTTTCTATGGTCTTATATGTATGAACCTAAGGTTCAAGTTATCTTAAAAATACTTAATCTAAAGTCCAGCTCTAACTTAACTAATTTGTCTTCGACCAATGGAGCAATCTACAGCCAATGGGAACAATCTACAAATCTATATGCATTTTTGTTCCACCAATCCTAGCTTTATACACTTTTTGGTCTCCACCCAGCATATACAATGAACAAATTTTGTCCAACTTGTCTGTTTGTTGAATATATTAGTATTAATTTTATATATGTAAAAAATGTTTTATTAGATTTTGATTTCGAATAGTTGGTTGGTATTAATTTTGAAGTCCCAATATGATTTTAATTTTAATAAATTTTGAAGAAATTTTTAATTTTTAAATATTTTTATTTGCAAGCGGAGCCGGGAGGCAAGTACTCTATGTATATCAACACTTTTAGCTCCGCCCGGCTCCGTATAGTAAAAATCGGTTGAACAAAATTTGTTCGTGGAGAATTTTTATCAATATTTTTACTAAGTTAAATTGATTTATTGAAATTTGGAATTTTTATTTATATTCTATATTATCTAAGTGCTACTTTTAACTATTAGTTAATTTTATATTATTCGAAAAACTTTAAATTTTGACAGTTTATTTTATATTTTAATAGGAAGCAAACCCGTAGTATGTAATATGTATTAAAGTTAATGTAAAATTTTTACTTTAAATATTTTAATATACACTTTTTACCTTATGATCTAGATTGCTTAATATCTTAAAAACTACTGAACGGATTTTATTGCGGTTTTCACTATAAAAAACTAGGAGAGTTGCTCTTCACTTTTCAATAAATTTTTACAGGGGTCGTCACTGAAAATAATTTTTTATCTTCCTCCGAAGTTTGTCAATTTTTTACGAAATTTTAAAAAGTCTATATCTTTGTCACTGTTTTAGTTACGGCTATGCACGATACCTTTCTGTGATCGGCGCGTCCTGCTCTTTCCAGTAGTGGTGGTTGAAAGTCTCTGTCTCTCTCCGTTTGGGAAAGAGAGAATCCGGCAAACTTGTTTTTTTGAACTTTTTGACCACTTCCCGGTGTCCAAAAATTCCGGGAGTGGTGTCGTTGGATAGGTCTTAGTGAGCACTTTTAAACGCACAAATAAAATTGGTACGTTGTCGATCTAGATCGAGCGGCGCACGCGAAAACAGTTTAAAAATGTCTAAGTTTATCACTTTTTGCCAAATTTTGGCTAATTCCGTGCACAATTTTTGTCACTATTGTTATATATTTACACGTTGACACTTAATACACTATATTTCACAGTTTTTAGCAAATTTTCAGTCTTTTTTCTATTTTTTTAGCGATTTTTAAAGTTTTAAATGCCGTTTCTTCGACCGGAGCACTGTTTCCGACACGGTGAGCGTGTCCGTTCGCTCCCGGTGTCCAATGAGTTCGGTTAGGTTAGGTTAGGTTAGGTTAGGTTAGGTTAGGTTAGGTTAGGTTAGGTTAGGTTAGGTTAGGTTAGGTTAGGTTAGGTTAGGTTAGGTTAGGTTAGGTTAGGTTAGGTTAGGTTAGGTTAGGTTAGGTTAGTTAGGTTAGGTTAGGTTAGGTTAGGTTAGGTTAGGTTAGGTTAGGTTCCCCCCAAGGTTAGGTTAGGTTAAGTGGTTAGGTTCGGTTAGCTGGTGGGGGGTCAGGCCAACCCCGGTTGGCGCAAACCAAAGAAACGGGAGGGAGGTGGCCAGGTTCGGTGGTTAGGTGGCGGGGTTCGGAGGGCGGTGTAGGGCCGGTGTACCATGCGGGTTGCTCCTGGTAAGGTTAGGCAGGACCTTGGAGCGAGGTTAGGTTGTTGTTAGGTGGTTCGGCACCTGCCGTCGGGGGGTAGTTGAATGCGTAAGCGATCCGCGACGCCCATTAAGACGGGGAAGGCTGGTTGGGCTTTGTTGGGTTTTAGTGGGTAGTACTGGCTTTGCCGGTGAGTCACACACCTCGTGCGTAAAAGGTTAGGTTAGGTTAGGTTAAAAAAAAAAAAAAAAGGTTAGGTTAGGTTAGGTTCCCGGGGCAGAGGCTGACTGCTACCGGGCGCGTCCCCCGGGTGGCGGATAGGGGAATGCCACTCGCGACTGTTCCCCCAGACAGGAGCTTGTGGTACCGGAGCAATCCGGCGCGGACCAACAGCCAGGAGGGGCAGGGGGAGCGGTGTCAGGAGGGCGCCGTCTCCTCCTTGGAGGTAGCGCGGTGTCTCCGGCCGTTTTGCGGTAGGAGGCGCTGCGCGGGCCGTGCTGCCGGGGCTAGCCCGTCGGTGCGGCGGCTGGAGCGGGGCCATTTCGGTGGTCCTGCGTCTGGCGTGGTTGTCGGCAGCCATCTTGGTCCGGAGGTGGGCCGACGGTAGGGGGGCCGCGGGGGAAGAGGAGTGTCGGTATGGCGATGCGCCGCTCGTCCCTATCTCCCGCGGCCTAGCGGGGCCACCACCGTTAGATGGTGGACGCGGTGGGGCTGCAGAGGAAGAGGAGTGTCGGTGTGTCGTTGCCGCTCTCCCTGTCCTCTGCAGCCGATTGGAGGTGGCCTACTTCGGTGGGCGGAGGTTGGATTTGATGGGGCTGCTCCGGGTACCTCTCTGGTGTAGCAGAGTTGACTGTGGAGCAGCCTCATCGGTATGGTGGTCAGCCATCGGCAGACCTGCCGCCGGGGCGCCGTAGTAGTTATGCGCGAGCGATCCTGCGGCGTCCCATTAAGGCGGAGGGGAGGGGAATGTCGGGTTTTAGTGGGTAGTACCGGCTCTTCTAGCCGGTGAGCCCCACATAACCACCTGGGGGGGAGGGGGGGTTTATCAGGTGGCATGCGTAAATGCATTTCCCGACAATAAAAAAAAAAAAAAAAAAAAAAAAAAAAAAAAAAAAAAAAAAAAAAAAAAAAAAAAAAAAAAAAAAAAAAAAGGTTAGGTTAGGTTAGGTTAGGTTAGGTTAGGTTAGGTTAGGTTAGGTTAGGTTAGGTTAGGTTAGGTTCTCAGGGCAGTTCTCAGGGCAGTTGCTGGACTGCTACTGGGCGCGTCCCCCGGGTGGCGGATAGGGGAATGCCACCATATTGGTGGTACCGGTCTTGACCGGCGCGGACCAAAACCAGTAGGCATGGGCGTGCCTTTAGGGGTTTGTTAACTCCACGGCCTAAGGGAGCACACCCTGACAGAAAAGCGCGGAGGTGGGGCGAGCCCGGCGGGCGCTTAACTGCGCAGGCCCGGCTAGCACTTTGTGCAACGCCCCTCCCACATCGTAATCCCGGGACCCGGTGTCGTTGCCATGTCTAGCGGCCGGTAACTGGGACCGATAGCCTCGGCTTAACCGCCCGGGCTGCGAGGAAGAAAACCTCTATAAAAAATCACCCCAATCCCAAGTGGCGGAGCAGCGCGAGGGGATGCGTGGCCGATGGGAGATCGGTCACTACTGCTACCCCCGCTAGAGTACC